GTGCTTGCCTCGCATGCATGAGGCCCTGGGTTTGATTCCTCAGCACCACATAAGCAGAAAAAGCCAGAAGTGGTGCTGTGGCTCAAGTGGTAAGCGCTCGCCTTGAGCTGAAGAGGGACAGCGCCCAGGCTTAGAGTTCAGGCCCCACGACTGACCAAAAAATAAATACATAAATAAATAATTAATAATCTTGGTCTCTGAGTCTTGAGGGGTAAGCAGCCATAAGAGACGTAGGTCCCACAAGGGCTTCTGTAGAAAGGCAAGAGGCTCTTGACAAATTTGACAAGATGTGACACCAACAACGACTGGGTAAACTTCAGGGCGGCTGAGATGCTGAAAAGTACAACCCAAGTCTTCAGGACAAAGGAGCCAAAAATTACAATTCTGCTCTCTAAATAATATGCTGACAACAACCTACTCAATTCCCACTCAGTACCAACAGTCTGGCCATACTGAAATCTTCCCAGTGAGTCCACAACAAAGGCCATCTACCTTAACATGCACCTCAAGAATCGGCCTTCCTTCCCACAATCGTACCTGGTGAGCCCCTTTCCCTTCCATCTACATTACTCACAAGCAACCTGGAGGCTCAAACCTGGGAAGGCATGAGTTCTGAGGACAAATTCTGCCACAGCTACTCAACACTGTAACTTTCCATAGTGCTTCAGGAACTAGAATTGCACATTTCTAAGTTTTAAGTTAAACCTAACTTCTAAGAAGCCAGGCAATAGGAGGTAGTCAGGAAGGAAAATGAGAAGGGGCACTTGGTAGAGGAAGAGCACGGGATGGGATACATAAGAGATCACTCATGCTGAGACTGTGTGGGAGCCATACAGACACGAAACTGTGTTTGGCCACTACTTGTGTGGTGGGAACGGCTCCCGTAGAGTTCCCTGTGCTGTGCTACCCTCTGCAGGAGACCACAGAAACGAAACAGGTTGCTGTCAAGCAGGTAGCACAAACCCCATGGGCCCTCCAATGTGGCAACAACTTCCATTCTGACAAGGTCTACATCACCAGGCTGCTGACAGCTCAACTCAAGTGCGCTGCATGTCCACGCGCAGGCTGCATTAAGGAATTTTCCTTAGGGCAGGATGGTAAGTAAATGATGCTGAGTTGTGTCTCAAGAAGGCCTTTTGTTATGTGTGCCTGAACTGGGACTTGAACTCAAGGCCTCTCTCTCTCACTTGGTTTTTTCACTAAGGGCTAATGCTTTACCAGTTGAGCCATACCCTCCACTTCTGGGTTTTTTTTGGCCAGTCTTGGGGCTTGAACTCTGGGCCGATGTCGCTCAACTCTTCAGCTCAAGGTGAGCGCTCTACCACTTGAGCCACAGTGCCACTTCTGGTTTTCTGGTGGCTTACTGGAGATAAAGAGTTTCACCACTTTTCCTGCCTGGGTGGGCTTTGAACCGCAATCCACAGATCTCAGCCTCCTGAGTAGCTAGGATAACAAGCGTGTGCCACTGGTGCCCAGCCATTTCTGGCTTTTTACTGGTTAAATGGAAGCTAGAATCTCAAGGACTTTCTTGCCCTGGCTGGACTTTCTTTCCTGGGCTGGATTCAAACTGCAAACATTGGCCTCCTGGGTAGCCAGGGTTACAGGTGAGCCATCAGCTCACCAGCTTTGAGGAGGTCTTTTCTTTTAACTTTTTTTTTTTTTTTTGGTCGGTCGTGGGGCCTGAACTCTGGGGCTGGGCGCTGTCCCTCAGCTCTTCAGCTCAAGGCTAGCGCTCTACCACTTGAGCCACAGCGCCACTTCTGGCTTTTTCTACTTATGTGGTGCTGAGGAATCGAACCCAGGGCCTCATGCATACAAGGCAAGCACTCTACCACTGAACCATCTTCCTAGCCCAGACAAGGTCTTTTCTATCAGCTTGACACAACTATGCAAGAGCCTATAAAGTGTTCATAGCTGTTGAGGCTGGGAGATGGGTAGACCAAGGTTTATTAATGCATGTTTGAAAAGTTCCATGACAGCCTTCCCCCCCCTCCATATGTCATAAATTTAAGCCAAAGCTCAGAAAACCACCCACAGCCAAGGACAGGAAATACTGCCGAGCTAAATGTGGGAGAAGTCAGCTGTGCTTGACTGTCACCTCAAGTCTTTATTATCTTTGTAGTGATCCCATCAATCTGCTTCTGCTTACAAGTGTATTTTACTCCAAGTTTTTGTGTGTGTGTGTGCCGACCCTGAGGCTTGAACTCTGTCCCTGAGCATTTGTACTCAAGGTTACAGCTCTACCACTTGAGCCACAGCTCAGCTTCCAGCTATTTGGTGATTAAATGGACTAGAGATGAGTCTCACTGACTTTTCTGCCTGGGCTGACTTCGAACTGCAATTCCTCAGATCTGTGTCCTAGTAGCCAGGATTGCAGGCCTACGTCACTGGCGCCCAGGCTACTCAACAAGTATTTATCACATGCATCCTTATTTCTTCCATGCCAGGCACTGAGCTCCATGCTGGGAATGCCAGGCGAGGCAGGTAAGTCCCTTGTTTCTGGAGACTTGGTCACATGGCACGTCCTTCAAGAGGAAATGCTTCCCCTCGAAACCCTCTAAGGAGCCAGAAGCCTGAGCAGGCACTCAGGACACGCGTCCACCTCAGTCAACCTGGCTCCACTGCAATTACAAACAGCCAGCCTCGGCAGCAAGGCTCCAGGTGGCTAAGACCTTTCTTTACATTGGAGCATGACAGATAGTCTAAAACTCTCTCCTGAAGAAGCAGTTGACTGGGTCCCTGAAGCAGTAACTCCATCAGGTGGGCCTGGGCACTCAGCACAGAGGCAGCTGCCTTCTGCAGGCTCTGCTGAGAAAACTGCAAGCCAAAATGAACCTTGCTCCCAGTTATACAAACTTCTAGAACAGGCAAAAAATAATCATGAAGCCGGGCACTGATGGCTCACACCTGTCATCCTACCTACTCAAGAGGCTGAGATCTGAGGATCATGGTTCAAAGCCACCCCAGGCAGGAAAGCCCAATAAGACTCTTATCTCCAATGAGCCACTTGAAAACAGGAAGCGGCGCTGTGGCTCAAGTAATACAGCACCTGCCTTGATCTGAAGAGGTCAGGGTTCAAGCCCCAGACTAACATAAAAAAAAAAAAGGTAATTACTGAACAGGAAAACTTCAGGACAGCAATCAAACACAGTGGCAGGGATCATCTGAGAGCAGCCCAACAAGGCTATCCGTGGAGCAGATTCAGTGTCATCAGTGTTCAAAACTTGCTGGCATGGACCAAGTCTGTGTGTCACATCAAATAGAAAGAGAACCACAGCCAGGTATGATGGTACACATATCTGTGATAGAATTCCAGCCTGTAATCTCCACTCCCCATAAGGTAAAGAACATCATGGATGGGGCTGGGATGGTGGCTCAGTGGTAGAGCACTTGCCTTGCATGCCAGAGGCCCTGGGTTCGA